TCAATAAAAAGGCAAATGACGCTGATACAAAAGTCACCATCTGCTGCGCTCTGATTCTATTTCTATCTTCTGCAAAATGTAGCACGTTAGGGGGATTTACTTTCTGAGAAGAAATGACCAGCGGAAACCGTAATGCTGTAATATCTCGTACATTTATATATCACCAGTAGTATGAGGCGTACAGGTAGTGTATACTGGACCTTTTCTGGAAACAATTCCCTGTTCATCTAACGGGGCTCTTGTTTCGTGAAATGAAACAGTATTGTACGTTTCTGATTTCTTTGTAAGAGATGGAATTTTTTTTCCAATTTTTTATTTTCATTCGTATTTTTTTTTATATCAACTGCATGAATAAAACAAATATGAATATTCGTGCTCATTTCGTTATGCACATTTCGTTATAAAATTTACTACTTCCCATATTCAAGTTTGCTTCAAAACGTTCGCAACGGTTTTGGCACGTCATATCCTCTTACATTCTCGTTCGATCCGCAAGTTGGTTTGTATGCAATAAATATCAAAAGTAAAATACATATCTACTACCGAAAATGCTTAGAACTCGACTTACAATGTCAAAAGTTAATTTAATTAAAGAGAAAATAAATAAAAATATATATATAAATAAATAAATATATAAATAAATAAATGTATGAATGAATAAATTAACACCAAGATTTTTGGCCAATCAGTTTCAGATACTATGTAGCGATATACCGCGATATTCAGTCTGCACCAGTCATGTCGTCAGGGATAGTCAATATTATTCCAGTTTCCGTGTCTGAATCTTGTTTGATCTTCACCACTAGTTATAACAGTAGTCAAGCTCCTTCTCATAGACCAACACCAATTGAGAAGATAACGTGGAATCTTGGTACACTCATCGCGAACAGCTGCTGTCAAATTGCCCGATGGTTTGTGACTTAATTTATATTGAGGTTGACCGTTATAGTCTCAAACGTGTTCATAAAATTGGGTTGATATCCGGCGTACATGGTGGCCAGGGAAAATATTTATATTATTACGCTGTAGCAGATAACGACTGCTGTGTGCGACGTGTTGTCTTGCATAAGTATGCTGCAGTGAAAGTCTTAGTCTGAATTTCCGGCTCCTGTAACTACGCAGAATAGTAAGGAGGAAACAAGATTATGTAAGTCCCTGACGTTAATGGATCAATAGTGACAAAGGTGTGTGTGTGTGTATTTGCGTTTATCTATACTCGCTACCGGTTGCCCATATGAGCAAGTCCTCGGGAAGAGTATTAGTCATTTTATTTTTGGATGATAGTGCAATTACAGATACAGAAAGATGCCCCAATTCTAGAAGCTTCTCCTGGTTCTTTAGCCTGCCAAGTGTTTAAGCACCCATACCCGGGACCTCGATTTAAAGTCTCATCCGAAAGACTGATTAGTAAGTTTAGTTGGCCAGCCCGGGAATCGAACCCACAATGTCGAGATTACAAGTCTCGCGCTCTAACTGATTGAGCTATGCGGGCTGGCTTAATGACCAAGGATCTAATGCTTGGTTAATATATCGTCTAGCTTGGAGATATCCCTGGCAAGGCACAACTAAAACTGATTTAAATCAATGGTTGATTGCTCCCCACACACGTATACTGCCTCCACCGTAACGGTCACTGTATATTGATAATGCTGAAATCATAAAAAGAGGCGTACAGTTAATTAAACTATTCAAAAGAGGCGTATAGTTTAACTATTCCTTATAATTATATAAAATTTAAAGGCTGCATGGTTTGTTTCGTAGAAATTCGAGGAGGGTGGGGTGTGGATTGCCAATGCACCGTAACTATTTGCTGTTTTTATCTGTTTAATTGTTCTTACTATCTACGCCACTGAATGCTTCCTTATTGACTTGAAAATTACGTGCAAATATTTTATCGACGTGATTTAGGAATATATTTATAAGAGATGTGACGAAACTGAATACAATAAAGGCTCATCGATTTTCGGATACTGGTTAGGTTATTTTACATCACGTTAATTTTTACAAATAGAACGAAACCAAATAGGCCTGTCTAACGAAAAATAAAGAAAAAGAAAAACAGAAGAACGCGTTTTCCCGTGGTCATCCTAGCTGGTCGACCAATAAGTTTACCCTGAAAACTCACTCATTCGACATACCATAAATCAACAATTATAATTTCAAGTAGACAGAAAGCTACGTTCTCTTTCTTGATTGTTTCTACTTCCAATAAGTCGTAATCAAAATACCAAAAATTCACGAATCTCTCTATAGAATAGAAATATGTGTAATTTCACTTTCAATTGTTTTTTTTATTATTGATTTTGTTTATTTGAAAACAAACAAAAGAAAACAAACGAATTTAATTTTTCTGTTAATTATCCTGTAACACATTTTTATGGTTTTATATCATAAATATAATTATTGCTCAAATGAAGATTTTAAGATATTAAGTTTGAAACAACAAGCTGTGTTTAAATATATAAACCTGAATGTACAGGATTATGGGTACTACCCTATTGATGAGGGCAAAACAATCAGAATTTCAACACTTCAAGCATTACTATTTCCGACACTGAGTCACTCACAACTAACATATATAATCTATCTCGATACTGTTTCTTTTGATAAGAGAAACTGCTTAGATGTTAATAAGAGTTTTTTTTTACATTTTGCTCAATATTAGATATAGAATAAGAGCTATTATTATTTATTTATTTGTTATTTTATTTTGCTCAATATTTGATATAGAGCTTTTCTAATCTTGTCTAAGTTGTTTATTTAAAACATAACTCAATTAAACATAAAAGCGTTAATTATATGTAGAATTGTTCATATTTCCCGCCATTTTTACAGACACGAAGCTATTCACTGCTTGCTCAATTATCCGAAACGTTGCGATTTATGTGCGTCATACGTGGACGCTGAAAAGGTAAAAATAGACTCAAAAATTGATTTATCAAGGCATGATGCATGGATATTATGTTTTAACACAAGTCTTTTCATATAATATAACATAAAATAACAAATATTTAATCGCGGATGGGCTTACGACGTTAGACAAGTTAAACCATGACAGTTGATGTGTTTACATTTTAAAAGTGGTAGTGAATAGTTTCGTAGTCACAAAGTGGGAGGAATTTCTAAATCAGTGACTTCGATAGATTCTCTTGTCTGACAGCAATTTATCATAAAACTAGATTTTACTATACGGTAACGGTTTATAAAAAAGAATATAAATAATGTATTCTGCGCAATATTTTTTTTCTAGATCAACCTTACATTCATTATTTTAATAACAGTTGCTAATTTAGAAAATTGCTATATATAATCTATATCAGACATTTATGTGGAACTTCTATAAAAAAGATCAATTTTAGGATTAAAATGTGTTAAAAATAGGAGAAAATAAATAGCCTCTGTAGGTATTCAAACAAAAGGGCGATGTACCCAAATAATTAAGGCATATAACCATATTATATATTCTATGATTTCATGATTCTAATTTCTTTTTTCAAAATAAGCTATTCTAAAGAAGCGTCCATATTTAGTTTTTAACCATCTCGTTTTTTTTTCTGAATTTTACTTGAATGTTGTAAGTGTGGTATGAAAGTTGCATCGTAGAAGGGTAAAAGTGTGTTGGAGGGGGGAGGATTTAAAACAGAGAAAACAGTAATAGATCTATTTCAAATTCTCGTTATTTACTCTTATAGTATATTAAATGGATAACAAAGACTGTTTTTAGAAAAGAGGGATACGGCCCGAAACTTAGCTTTAAAACGATGATCATGGTGCCTCTGTTTGCGTAGTGTCTTTGCGTAGTTTGTAGGGAAATATTTTGTTCATTCTACATGTTCTAACAATCAACTCTTTCATTTGTTCTAGTTTCAGGTAGCTGTTTGTTAGTGAACCTAATCATGCGTCAGCTGAAAGGAAAACCCGCTAAAGAAACCAAGAAAGATAAAAGGGAGAGAAGAAGGGATAATATTGAAAATAAAAACAATGTGACAAGAGTTGTCCTTCCAGTTTGTGGTGCATTGATAGCAGCTTTAGTTGCCTTTGTGCTTTATAGCACGAATTTCAAAATATGAAGCATTATTTTGTTGACATTTGTTTTACTAGTATTTGAGAAAAACGTCATGGAACATTGTGTTTTATTATGTTCTTACTGTTACAAATTATGTGGAAAAAAACAAATGTTTTTGCGGAAAATTCAACGAAAATTTTTACTTGACCAGTTTTACATAATTATCCGGAAGAGTAAACCGAGCAGGGAAACAGCTGGAATTATAGAACAGATCTAGAGCTATTTTCAAATGGATCTCTTAAATAACTGAAGAGCTATTTTTTAAAAAACTTTTCCACCATTGATGTTTGGACATTACAGGACTTTAAATTTTATTACATGTAATGATGTACAAATGTATATACATTCATTCATATATATTGTTCACATTTGGTTTAACTAAGCTGAAAACTATCACCCATTATCATTTCCTATTTTAAAATGCTTTTTGATGTATTTTCTTTCCTGATGTTTTGTTTTTAAATGTGATGTTACATCCATGAATGGATGGATAAAGATAGTACAGTTTTAGATTACATGAGATACATTTGTAAAGCTTGTGTTCAAGAATTTCACCTACATTTCAGTTACATTTCAGCACAAACATGTAAATTATTTTGGATCATTCTTACCCTGGTCGTTATTCATTCTTCCCTATATGTACTTATCATGTCGTTAAGCAATAATGTATTATACTACATGTATTATCTTGTGCCTTACTATGTAACATTTGATTTTGTAAATTAAAGTAACATGTATTGAACTAAATATATTTTCTGTTTTATTCACTTTTAAGATGTTACATGACTTGTATTTATGCTAAAACACATTTTGTGTAATTTCGATTGCGAAACAAGTTCTTGAAGGAAAACAAATCACATCTGAATCCGGGTACTTGAATAGATCTGTAATGGTTCCATCTGAGGAAACATGCTGATATCCCGAGTAGGACTCGAACCCATGAATCCTTGTTTGAGAGACAGACACTTAAACCACTAGTCAACCGCTTCGATCATAATGTATGTTAACTCTGTCTTGATTAAAAAGTACTTTAATCATTGTTACGCTCGACTGTGAAGATTTAATGAAACGCCCTCGAAACTAACCAGTAAGTGTGCACATTATAGTAACGCTATAGTTAAAATATATGTAATCACGGCCCTCTGAAATACTAAATAAAAAGGTTTTAATCTATGACGTTTGAAAATATTTATTATTTTTATATAAATTTCTATTTTGTGTACTATTACGTTGTTGGTAAATTCAAATAATAGTTTTGTAAAACGATACCGTTTTTAGAAATCTATATATACATGAAAGTGTTAAACGATTAAATAAACATTGGTTTGAACTGGCCAATTCTCGTATTGATTTTGTATTGAGATCGTATTGTTGTTGTGTCGAAATTGTATTGAGATTATATTGAGATGGAATTGAGATTGTATTTAGTTTGTATTGAAATTGTATTGAGGTGGTATTAAGTTTATATTGAGGTCGTAATGAAATTGTATTGAGATCGTATTTAGTTTGTATTGAGATCGTATTTAGTTTGTATTGAGATCGTAATGAAATTGTATTGAGATCGTATTTAGTTTGTATTGAGATGGTAATGAAATTGTATTGAGATCGTATTTAGTTTGTATTGAGAGCGTAATGAAATTGTATTGAGATCGTATTTAGTTTGTATTGAGATCGTAATGAAATTGTATTGAGATCGTATTTAGTTTGTATTGAGATCGTAATCAAATTGTATTGAGATCGTATTTAGTTTGTATTGAGATCGTAATGAAATTGTATTGAGATCGTATTTAGTTTGTATTGAGATCGTAATGAAATTGTATTGAGATCGTATTTAGTTTGTATTGAGAGCGTAATGAAATTGTATTGAGATCGTATTTAGTTTGTATTGAGAGCGTAATAAAATTGTATTGAGATCGTATTTAGTTTGTATTGAGATCGTAATGAAATTGTATTGAGATCGTATTTAGTTTGTATTGAGATCGTAATGAAATTGTATTGAGATCGTATTTAGTTTGTATTGTGATCGTAATGAAATTGTATTGAGATCGTATTTAGTTTGTATTGAGATGGTAATGAAATTGTATTGAGATCGTATTTAGTTTGTATTGAGAGCGTAATGAAATTGTATTGAGATCGTATTTAGTTTGTATTGAGATCGTAATGAAATTGTATTGAGATCGTATTTAGTTTGTATTGAGATCGTTAACACGTTATTGATTGAGCAATGATTTTTAAAATTTTAAATAGTAAAATAAAGCGTTTTACGACACTGATTAGAGACTGTTAATTAAGATAAGCATATTTATCTATATTCACATTTATGAATAAAGTTATGAATATTTCATGAATCATTTTCAAAGGGCATTGCCTTACAGCTTATTACAAATGCTCATGATTTTTTTTACTTGAATTGTTTTATCTCTTTTGTTATTTCCCACCGTTCCCTTTTATGAGTGTTCCCTTTTATGAGCGTCTTAAATAATTGTATTTTTATTGTTGTTTTTTTAAGTATTTGAAACATGTTTGATTTTAAACGTTGTATTTTTTGTTCGTTCATACATGGCTTTCTTTTTTGTGTGTTTGTGCAAAGTTGCACGAAGGAACTCTTATAAAAGTCACGCGTGTTCTCACGGGATTCTGTATGTCTTTACCATTCATCAAATGTAAAAAAAAAGAGTCAATTTAATATATTGTAATAAATAGTGCATACAATAAAAACCCAGGTAGTTAAGAATACCCATTCGTACTCGTAACGTATACACTATAGTTCAGCGAAATCAGTACCCGTTGGGTTCCGACAATGAGTATAGTAGAAATACACAAATATATGTCAGTATGTAATTTCAAAACAATTTTAATCTAGATTTAATGTATTTAATTTCCTGATAAATTTTGTTTGACAAATTACACTTTTTTTGTTCCTTCCTTCTCAGTTTTGTAGTGCACACTTAAACAGACAAACAGACAAAGTCAAAACCGAAATTGCAATTTTCAATTCGATACAATTTTTTTCTTACTCTTGAGGGAGTGCCTTGTTTTCAAATTTCAAAATTTTGAAAAATGAAAATAATTTTAGTTAGTTTTAACTATTTTTTATGTTACAATCATTTCTGACGAATGAAATATTTGGATTTTACTACTGTCTCGTGCAATAAAGTGCTTTTTTCCGTGAACATTTCGTATAGGAAGTGAAACTATATGCACTTGTAACTAAACGAGCCAATGCATATAATTTAAGCATTATATTGTTTCATTCATAATCACTTTAACTTTACTAGGTGACTTGAAAGCTATCAATCTTTTATGTTTTGTTTTGCTTAATATGAACAGGAAACGATGATACTCTATGCATCATTTGAAATGTTTATGAAAAGATTTCAGTAATTGATGAATAAAATACGGAAATTCACTTCCGGAAACTATGATTTTAGCCAAAATGTTGTAACCCATTAACCGAATTGATAAAAGTACTATTGTTTCTCTTTTGTTTGTGTCATTCAATCGTAAGAGGTAATTTCCATTTCATAAGTGCGTATATTTTTGAAAATTTAATACATTTGTTAAAGTCGCGCACGTGATGTGATGTGATCACGTGCGAGGAATTTTATTCTAAAAATAGTAAATCTTGTTAAGTACAAGTGGGTAATAACATATGCTATGACAATTAACACAAATAACACATATAAAATTTCACTAAGTCTTGTATTTATATGCATATTAAATTATTTATAATATTTGAATTTTTTCTTAACAACTGAAGAATTTTGATAAAGCGAAACATGAATTATAAACTGTTTTCGTTTTTGAATGTTTTAACCTTAATTTACAGAATGATCGTTTGTCTGTATTTATATTTTTTAATATAGTTTAAGAAAACAAAATAAATGAAACTGAATTTGTTGTTTTTCTACTTATTACTTTCTTTCTTTCTATTTTAGAGACTTTGCCTTCTTGACTAATTCTTAACTGCCAGTTTATTGGCCTGGTTTTATAGCCGATTTCTACACAATTTGTTCTCATCTAGGCAGTCGAACAACCTAGCCGGCTTTCCTGGGTAACTTACCAGTAATATCCAGTTTCTTCGCAGGTGACTAAACTCGCACGATTTCTGCATCAGGGACAAGAGACAAATGATCAGTATGCCCAATTTTAGAATGCATTTGTCAATGAGAAATATCGCCTTGCCGACAATCGAACCAATGACCCTGTTTTAAAAGTTTGATGCTGTCCCTAATGAGCTAAGCGGATTGACTTAATGCTCTAACCACCAACGATTCTTATGTTGAGAGCAGGCAGGTACCTTAAGCATTAGACGTGGGATTTATTTATATAGTAAATGGAAATGAACATACACAAAGCGGAGGTAGGGTGTTTAGAGAACTGGCTATATAGTATATAAAACGCCTCTGTAAATTAGAAATCAAACTAAGATTTGATAGTCCTAGTTAAAACAAAAAACACAACGACAAAAAAAAAACACACAAAACAAAAACAAAACACGACATATTGGAACAACTCAACCATACCCTCGTCAGATATCCGCCCATTTGAGTTTGGGTTTTGAAAAACGTTATCATATACTTAGTTTATACATGTACTAATTTTTTTTAGCTCAGTAGTGCTATACAGTGATATGAACTTATAGAAACACCCTCGTATCCGTTCCTCGAACAAGTACTAACCAGTACTAAGACATGAATACAAGTTTCTTGCTCACGAAAACATCGTCTTGCACCTGACAGGGTTTGAACCTACGCGCCTAGCAATCCCTAAAATACTAGTCCTGCGCGTTAACCAGTCGACCACGCCGCCACTCAAGCATTGGGGGAAAACTATTGTAATTGATGTAAAAATAACAAAAACAGTATGACCAGTCAAAGGGAAATAAATGCAAAGTTCATTACAAAAATAGTCTGTATTGGTTACTTTTCTTTAGAATCTACATTTTTATTACAAAAGAAAAATGTTGAGATGAGGTTATTCTAAGAAACAGTGACTAGTTACTTTTAAGTCTCTGGTTATAAAGCCTGTAGCTTTCTTTTATTGTAGTTAGGTTTAATGATAATTAAAACCCTCTAGAAAATTCGTCGCCTAACTCTAAAAGTGTCCTATGTCCATTTTTGCAAAATTTGAGATAAATGAACCATTCTTTTTACCTTACATTGCTCTATGTTCAAGGTTATGGTGACCTAGAAACGGAGTTACCGAGTATGAACTTTGCTCTATGTCCACATTTCGCATGATTGTTTTATCCTTATAGTAGGGTATGTACGTTACTTAGGACAATTTAATAGTGAAACCTGAAATAAGCCAATCAAAACACGAACTGATGGTCAGGTGACCTTGGTCGTTTTCGCAATGATAGTGCGCTAAGTCAAAACTTCCGGTAGAGAATTTTCTTGCCAATATTTTTTGTAATGCCATTGATTGTGTTTCCAAGCAAGATAAAGTAATAATATGTGAGTATATTAAACTAAAATCTCTGTACGTGTAACTGCAATTTGCTTTTTTAATGTCGAATGCACTGTAATCTCAGAATTTTAAGAAGTTTTGCAAAACCTAG